CTCAGCCTCTGGAGTAGCTAGGACTACAGGTGTGGACCACCACAACCAACTTTTTTTTTTTTTTTTGTAGAGACAGGATTTCACCATGTTGCCCAGGCTGGTCTTGAACTCTTGGGCTCAAGGGATCTGCCCACCTTGGCCCCTCAAAGTGCTGGATTACAAGGCGTTAGCCACCATGCCCACCCAGTATTCTTGTTTTGACAGTTAGATGTTTAGAAACTTTTTTAAAAAGCCAGTCAAATGAGAATGTCTTGTATTCCTCTTTGTTTTCCTTTGATAACAATCTGTGAAAAAACTGCAGTGGTCAGAAGATGTATTAAAATATACACACACAAGCTGTATAATTTTGCAGGTTTATTAGGGCAGGACGACATGGAACAGTATGACCAGAGAAAGCAACAACCTTACAAATGAATCACTTTCAATTGTGTTGACCCAGATAATTTTAAAAATAAACTTGTAATTCAAGATGAGCAGCAGGACAAGCTTATTAACATTTGCTAATTTAGGAGAGGAAGGGCCAAGTCAAATATAATAGAAATGAATTATTGCAAAATGGAAACTTTTTGATATGAAACATAAAAATAAATTAAAAACCTAAAGAAGACTGTAGTGTGTCAATTTCCTGGTTTTAATAAGGTATGTAAGATACCAATAGGGTATTATAGGTATGTAAGATACCAATAGGGTAAACTGGGCAAATACTACACAGGACTGCTGTACTATTTTTGCAACTTTTTAATAATTATTTCCAAATAAAAAATAGAGAAAAATAACATGAAAAAATAATAAATCTAGATAGGAATTCTTACAAGGAGAACTTAAAACAAATATACGTAGTAAAAGACAGTTACATTGCCAGGTTTCCACAGACTTGTAAGGAGTTAAATAAAATTAGAAAAATGTTTCTAACACACACACAGACACACTTTTTTTTTTTTTCTTTTTGAGACAGGGTCCTGCTCTGTCATGCAGGCTGGAGGGCAGTGGCCTGATCACACCTTACTGCAGCCTTGACCTCCTGCGTCCAAGCAATCCTCCCACCTGGGTCTCCCAAGTAGCTGAGACTAACAAGCACATGCCACCATGCCCAGCTAATTTTTTTGTAGAGACAAGGTTTCACCATGTTCCCCAGGCTGGTCTTGAACTCCTGAGTTTATGCAATTCACCTGCCTTGCGTCCCAAAGTAGTGAGATTACAGGTGTGAGTCATTGCGCCTGGTCTAGACACACTTTACTAATAAAAATATTAGGCTTTCAAAAGTGGTATCCTACTTTTAATGTATGAACTAATGATCTTTCACATCTTAGAGATGTGTTTTTTTATTATTATTTATTTATTTTATATGATTATTATTATAAATTTATTAATTATTATAATAATATACACAGTATTATTGTGTTTGTGAAAGACAACTTTTGTGAAAACCACAAAAATAAGTATTTGCTGTTAAGAAAGGAAAAAATTTATTTCTTGGCCTCATCAAAGAAAACTGAAGATTTTGCTATGAAAGTAACAAAAATATACAAATTGTACCACCTCATACCCCCAAACTGTATAAACAATCGCAAAATTTTCCTTCATCTATTGATACAACCCCAGAGAAGCCAGTCCTCACAGACCTGGGGGCATTCCCACGTCAGAATATTACAAAAAGATCTAGGAACACATACATTTGGCAGAAAGACATCAATTAATGTGCAGGGAAGATTGCCCATGAAATAATTTATGGTGATCCATTTAGTAGGGCCAGAGAGATCTGAGCTCAATTTTTGGCTCTTCCAGCTACTAGTTTTGCTACATTAGGTATGTCACAATCTCTCTGAATCTCAATGTCTTTGTTACTAAAGTGGGTACAATGATACCCATATCTCAAGGTTAGTCCTAATACTGGAAGAGATATTTAAGTTCCTAGCACAATGCTGTGTAAATAGAAAGTGATCAGTAAGTGTTAGCTACCTCCCAGTCCGTTTTCCCAGAAACACAATGCAAAATATTTCTGCTGGTTTGCATGAATTAAAACAAGTGGCTAAGGAGTAAAATTAAAAGGGCAAGAGAATCTAATGAATTATCCAGACAATCTTTCTTTTTTCTTTTTTTTTTTTTTTTGAGACGGAGTCTTGCTCTGTCGCCCAGGCTGGAGTGCAGTGCAGTGGCGCTATCTCTGGTCACTGCAAGCTCCGCCTCCCGGGTTCACGCCATTCTCTTGCCTCAGCCTCCCGAGTAGCTGGGACTACAGGCGCTCACCACTACGCCCGGCTAATTTTTTGTATTCTTTAGTAGAGACGGGGTTTCACCGTGTTAGCCAGGATGGTCTCGATCTCCTGACCTCGTAATCCGCCCACCTCGGCCTCCCAAAGTGCTGGGATTACAGGCGTGAGCCACCGCGCCTGGCCCTGACAATCTTTCTATTAATTATGTCGTTAATATTTAATACATGTTGGGTTTTTGGTATTATTCAGGTACTGCATCTGAATAGATCCTCTTCCTTTGTCTTCAACAAATTTGGCAAAATATGTCATTAATCATTTTATTCAGATCATAACATACCAATGTAAAAATCATAGTTTTAATGTTTACTCATGGCCCTGAGAAATATAGTGACATAGAAACAGTGAAAAGGTAAAGAATTTGTTTCTCAAAGCTGATGGGTATAATTGTCCTTGTCTCTCGAACCTTCCCCATTAGTGCCACAGTGGCAGCCCCCATAAACTGTTAAGGGTGATCAAGCCTTCTGAAATTGCAGGGGAAGTGGGCAGCGCAGAAACAGTCCTTAGAAGGCTTTAGAGACAGGTGCTCAACATGGAATTAGTGGGCTTATTCAGGGGCTTCTGGAATCTGCAGTCCCTGTATGTAAAGTTGTGGTTAGGTGTATTTCGTGCCTTTTTTGTTAGGAGGCTCCTCAACTATCACTTCCTCCTAGAGGTCTTCTCTAGCCATCCTATTCAGCCAGAGGCCTCGTCCACAAAATCTTTTTCATCACTCTGTGTGTTTCCTGCAAAGCCTTAGTACACCTGTCATTACCTTGTTTGTTTGCTTCAGTCCGTCTAATCCACTAAGGTGAGCTTTCCAAATGCACAACCCTGGTCCTTCCCCAGTGGCTTGAACCTGGTGGGCCTCGTTAGATACTTCCGGAATAAATGACAAGTCCGTGTCTATCAGATTTTTAACAGACTTTATACTCCTCCATCCATCCCGCTCTCCGTCCCCCACTCCACTTCTCGGGCAAGTATTCTTCTCCAGAAATAATTTTAAGGTCATGCGTCTTCATTTTTGAAGTGAAGCTTGGGCATTTCGACCACACCCACCCTCCCTCCCTCGCATACTCGTTTCCTAACAGAGCGTTACTCCAGCCCACTTGCCCAAGCCCACCAGGCCGCAGGGTTTAGGAGCAACCAGGGTAAGGGCAGCCCTGAACCGGAAGAAGTGTCAATTCACATTACCGGCACTGGTCCTGGTTCGGAAAGCCTGGGCAGGAACCGTGCGACCCAGAGAAGCCACCCGCCCAAGGCCGCCTCCAGCCTCCGCCCCACCAGCAGCTCAGGGCCCCGCCCTACCGGCAGCCGCGCCTCGCCGCCCTCCCTCCAGCTTGGCCCTAACGGCTCGCAATGGCGGAACAGGGAGGCAGGAGCACCGCCGCTTGGGGAACTTCACCCGCCGGCCCAGGGCTCAGCTCGCCGTCTGACAGCCCCGGGTACTTTGCCCAGCGGGGTGCAAGGCCGGCCTGCGGCAAACGCCACTCCCGGGCAGTCACGGCCACAACTGCTTCCGGGTGAGCGGGTCGTCGACCCTGTGGCCCCGCCCATCCTTTGCCTCCTCAGTCGGCCGCTCAGGCTGCGGCTCCTCCCGGGGCCGGTTCCCGCTGTCTCAGCCGCGGCGCAGAGGGCACTTCGGCCTGACCGACTAGCTGGCTGCCGGTGCCGGGAGCCTCCGCGTCCATCCCCGCCCGCCTGGCCGGGGGACCCAGGACTGAGTCGTCCAGCTGCGCCCCTCGCCCCTAGCCCCAGCGGGCGCCGGGCGGGCAAGCCGCTCTTCGGCCCTTCCCGGACAGCGACGCAGTCACAGCGCGCGCCCTAACCCAGGTAAGGGCCGCTCCTCCCGCCAGCCCGGTGGGAGCAGGGAGCAGGGAGTTGGGGACCTCCCTCCCGGCCTCCGCAGTCCCGTGGGATCCGCGCCGCCTCTGACCTCGGCTAGGGGGCCGGGCTTCCCTGGGGACTGGCCGGCCCCGGGCGGGCTCCCGGACTGGGGTCGCCCCCTGCCTGCGGCGTTCTCAGACATCCCGTCTGATTTCTAACGCTCACCCTTCCTCCGCGCAGGGGAAAGGTACGTGTTACTCCCACTGTGGGAGAAATTAAATTGGGCAGCTGTCCCTCCGTTTCGGGTGCCCCAGGCGCCTTCTCTTCCTCCCTAGATGCCACACTCCAGTTCTGTCCTGGGACGAGCACCCCCAGGGAACGGTGTCAGGACGGTGTAGGGCGTAGCATTTTTTGGGGAATTTTACTTCTTCCTTGACCTGAGCTGGAGCGCGGGTTTAACAGGCCCTAGCTGGGTTAATACTTGACTAATATGAGGCGTTATTGACACCCAGATTGTTAAGTTACAGAGCTCCAGTCAACCCTGCCTGTGAGTAACCAGCAGGATGCAGGAGGACCTAAGGAAACCCACTTCTTTTTCTTTCTTAGAGAGAAAAAAGTTCAAGTGTTTGCTTTACTTTTTCCACCGTGGGAGCTACAAATACAGGCTGCTGAGACATGACTAGATAAATATCGTATCCTAAACCTTAACTGTTAGTAGCTGGTTTTCTTTGAGTTTCCATTTAATAACTCAGCATTTCTACTATAAACAAAAAAATTGTAGAGTGGATTGATTGACTAAAAATGAGATGTAAGGATAAGAGTGGTTCTTAATTTTTTTATGTTGTCATAGTTGGAAGAGAATGTGGTTGCAGTAATGGAACAGAGAGGGAGAGCAGGGTGTGGATGTATAAGTTCTTAATCAGTGTTTAAAATAATATTTTTTCAAGATAACATTTTATTTTGGGGATAAATCTACATGAAAAAGTGCAATTATTGGAGAATGCAGTGTTGCAAATAGAGTTAGTTGGCAGGGACTCCAAGGTTGTTGCAGCACTAACCCTGTTTAACCAACATCATGCTCTGTTTAACAGATACAGAGATAATGACCTAGTATTATAATATACTTATGTAAAATAAGAATTTCGGAAAGTGTGATTCATTTCGAAGGTAGATCACTCACTTTGTGAATCATTGCTATGAATCTGAAAATTGAAATAGAGAAAAGCTAAGTTCGTGTCTGCCTAATGAGATGGCATTCTTTACTCATTTAATAGAAAGTGTTGTATTACGTTTTGTTAGGTCTGTTGCTGGATATTTATCATCATGAAGAATGGTAATGAAATAAAAGTTGAAGTATTTGCAGAATGCTCGAATTTAGAATAGTCTGTTGGTTTTTAAGTGATTGTTTTGGTTTTACCCTTCCCCCCACTTTTTTTTTTGCCAGATGTGGGAAGATAAATGAAGGGGTCTAGAAGTAAGTGTCAGTGGAAATGAGAGCTACCATCACTAAGGTATGAAAATGTTCACTGAAAGAATTTGCACTATACAAAATAGTCTTTTGAGTGGAAAGCATCACCCATTTTTGTGATTCTGTCTTTAAAAATGTAGAATGAAACTACATGAGTTATTATTTAAGTTCTGTTCTAGAAGAAAGTGTGTATTGAAGTTGTGATTGGAATGGATTCACTTTAAACTAGAAATAGCTTTTTATTGCTGAAATGTAATTTGATCATTTTTGACTTTCAAATGTTAAGTAAAATAAGGTTGAAATCACAGAGTTCTTGATACCCTTAGCCTTGTTTTTCTTTTCCTTCTGTTGGAGTTCAGCTGATTTTTACCTTGATTTTCATTTATGAAGAACTTTAGCTAGTTATGAAGTAATGGCAAGTCTGTCCTATTGGTCTAGCTTACTAACTTCCTTTACTTCTTTCACTAAATTTTGACATCTTTTTTTACTTTGGATATCCATTATATTCAGAGTGTTCCCTAATGTTGCTTTTGATTTTTGTCCAGCTAATAGTGACTAAAGAGTTTCAGTTCCCTGTGAACACAGATTCCCTTTTGGAAAATCCCTTTTGGAAATCACCGTAACTGACAGTCTTGATAGGTAAATACGCAAGGGAAACCTTTCCAGGTCAGGATTTAAGTATCTCCGTAATGAAAGGAAAAGGTGATATGGAGAATGCATTTGGCAAAGTATTTCTGTCTCTCAAAACAAAAACAAATCTTTGTTAGATGTGAATTTAGCAAGAGGGAGGGAGCAATTTCTTGCAAAACTATTTGTGGATTGTTTAGCCTGTTGCTAGTGTGAGAAGGAACAGAATTGATGATATATAGAAAAAAAATAATTCTTGTAGTGTGTTGGGAATGTTGACGAGTATCATTCAAAACGAAATAAAATTCTTCCGTCTTTACCTTAGGATCATTATCCATTGCACCTGCAAAATAGAGGCTGTTTCATAGCTTTTTCCTTTTAGGTAGTTGCTTTCCATCTGGAACATCTAAATTGAGAGATGGTCCTTTAATGGGGAAAATGTACTACTTTGTCCAGTTTTCAAATAAAGAATATAATCTGTGATCATCATTTGAAACTCAACTTTTGGAGGCCAAGGCAGAAGGCGTGCTTGAGCCCAGGAGTTCAAGACCTGTCCTGGCAACATAGTGAGACCCTGTCTCTGCAAAAAAATTAGTTGGTCGTGTGTGCCTGCAGTCCCAGTTGCTTGTGAGGCTGAGGTGGGAAAGCCACATGAGCTCTGCAGTGAGCCCTGAAAGCACCACTGCACTCCAGCCTGGGAGACAGGGTGAGACTCTGTCTCAAAAATAAATAAATGAAACTCGACTTTTTTTTTTTTTTTTTTTTGAGACAGAGTCTCGCTCTGTCGCCCAAGCTGGAGTGCAGTGGCGCAATCTCAGTTCACTGCAAGCTCCGCCTTCCAGGTTCATGCCATTCTCCTGCCTCAGCCTCTTCAGTAACTGGGACTACAGGCGCCCGCCACCACGCCCGGCTAATTTTGTTTTTTTTGGTAGAGACGGGGTTTCACCGTGTTAGCCAGGTTGGCTTCGATCTCCTGACTTCATGATCTGCCCGCCTCGACCTCCCAAAGTGCTGGGATTACGGGCGTGAGCTACCGTGCCAGCCAAGAAAACTCAACTTTTAAAACTTCAGAAGGAAGGAATTGAACAAAACTTACCTCGTGAAGTTTTTGGCTTATAATAAATTATGCTGGACTTCAAAGGAGTCAAACACTAGGCTAAAAACTGGGTTGATCATGCATTATACTTTTTCATTAGTTCTGTTATTCATTTATTTTGATGGGGAGGTCAAGAGATAATTCCATTTCATAGGGAACATATGTATGCATTTGTTTTAGCCTAGTGTTAGGGAGCGCAGTAGATAAAAGTAGAGATAATTAGGGAAGGGGAGGAAATGGCATTATTTACTTCATAGGTTCAGTAGATGTTTATGAGACTTTTAAAAATTGATAAAACATTTTAAAATGTGGTATATGATGAAAAGAAAGTCTGCTTTCCACCACGAACTCCCAGCCTTTCCTTACCCCAACCCCCAATCCAAGCAACCATATACAATGACATATGTCTAGGAGAAATTTACTGTATCTTTCATTCTTATCTTTGACCTATGAAGATCTTTTTGTATTTAGCACGTTTCTTACTTTTTTTTTTTAAAGACTGCATGTCTTGCTAGTGTAGATGAACCATAATTTATTCATTTTCCATAATTTATTTTACCATTTTCTACTGACAGATATTTAGGTTGATTTTAGCCTGCTACAAACACTGCTATAATGAACAATTCATATATAAGTCTTTGCACTAGTTAGTAAGTGTCTATACAAAATGTATTTTCAAAAGTGTGACTGTAAGATTGGGACTGAAGTTATGAAAAGTTAAAATTATTTCAATCCTATATTGGCTTTATTTATAATGGAATTTAACTTATTTCTTGGGCTTGTGGAAGGGGAAAGGAGCTCTTAATTACTTTGTATTCTTCATCCACCTCTCCATTTAAAAAATATTGCAAGTGTATTTTATAAGGTACTTGAAAACATTTGAGTGTCAGGTGATTAATTTTATTTGTATTGGTAAAAGTAGAAATATTGTGGTTTGAAAACTGGTGCTGTCATAGAGAAGCATTTATATTTGAAAATAGTTAAATGACTACGTCTTATAGTAGGTTGATTGTTTCAGAATTTTATGACCAGTATCAATTAAAAGCATTGTGTATAGTTTAACTTCTTGCCCTGCATAAGTCGGCTACTATGTTATTAGTCAGGAAAGAAGTAAATAATCTACCTTCTCTTTTCCTTTACCTTCCACATCCTAATCTATACATGATAAAATAAACCTCTGTGGAGTTTGAGATCCAAAAATCCTTTTGCAAACCATAGTGCTATCGATGGATTACTTTCTCAAGGCAGGAAGTAGGTACAGATTCAATCTTTATTCTGCAAAGTGTTTGTAAACAGAATAAAGGAGGCTTAGGTTTTACATTTTAATGTTATACAGGTTACTTGTGGCCAGGAGGAGGTTCAGGATTCTTTGCCTTTTTGAAATGAGAGAGACACTAGAGAGAAAAAAAATTACATGCTGAAGGGCTATAGTTTGATGAAGTTGGAACTCGTGAGTGGTAGCTTCCCTGGCGTGTGCCCAGGGTCTATTTTGAGACCTTGTCAAAGCTTGCCTGACAGAACCTACCACATAACCATAATCTGGCCTGGTCCTGCTGCAAGTCAGGAAGGCCTGTGGTTTAGGATCAGTAGCAACCACAGAAGGGGGAGTTAAAAGGATGTTTTGCCTTCAGAAGATTAAGGCTAGGTTTTGGGGTGAATATCTACTTAGCCTGTATATCCGAGGATCCAAGTTTTTGCTGCTACCTCCTCCTCCCCTGCTTCTTCCTCTTATTAGGGAAAACTAAGGAGTAAAGGTTTTGTTTGTTTGTTTGTTTGTTTTGAGACAGGATCTCACTCTGATGCCCACGCTGGAGTCCAGTGGTATGAACACAGCTCACTGCAGCCTTGACTTCCTGGGCTCAGGTGATTCTCCCACCTCAGCCTCCCAAGTAGCTGGGACTACATGCACACACCACCACACAGGGCTAATTTTTGTATTTTTTGTTGAGACGGAGTGTCTGCATGTTGCCCACGCTGGTCTCCAACTCTTGGGCTCACGTTATTCACCCACCTTGGCCTCCCTAATTGCTGGGATTACAAGTATGAGCCACTGCGCCCGGCCAGGAGGAAAGTTTTTAGAAAAATGTGCACAAGAAAGAGCATAGGGATTGTGCCAGCATTGATGTTATCTTCTGGTTATATGAGAGTGTTTGCCAAAAATCAGTCGAATGTTTTACAATAGCGAAAAAGCATTATTGTTACTGGCATACGGAGGGCCCCACTTAAAATAGCAGTCCAATTCAGAGACCTTCATATTTGTCGATAGGATCAAAAGGACAGTTGGAATAATGGACTATTCTACAGGATTATTTTGAGTTCAGATAGATAAATTAGCTTCTTCCCAAATTCCCATTCTGTTTTTCCTGTGGTACTATATAGTATCATGAAGTTTTATCTTTAAACTCTTAGTTTGTACTATGTGGTGTCTTACAAAAACCTTGATTTGTTTATACTTAGTGAATGAAACACTTGAGTTTAAAGTTCTTTGACTGATGTCACTTCTTAGGCTAGAAAGCTGTTAAAGAACTTAGTGTTCCACCCTTAGACCAAGGTTCATGTCACCATATTTAACTGCAGCTTTGTATTACAGTCAAGATTGTTTGAAGAATTCGGCATGGACTCCTTCACCCCCACTTTTTTGCTTTAGATTAGATTGTGACTAGAGGAAATTTAATTTTCCTTTGCCGTCAGTTATTTGCGGTTGTTCACATTTATGATGATGAGAATGATGATGATAATGTATTTAGGATTCAGTGTGAGGAGAAAGAATAAACTCGTATTTTTCTTTCTTCGTCATCAGTTTATTCCCATTATCTTATTTTCCCTTCTCTGTCTCAGCCTTCGTTTCATCCTCGGGAAAAAAAAAGAAAAAAGAAAAAGAAAAGAAATAAAGACCAGCAGAGAGAGAAAGTGGTAAAGAGCTGGGGAAAGCCTTGGAATACATATCAGGGTGCTTTCTCAGAGGTGGACTATAAACATCTTCGTTAAAGAATCATGGATTATCTTTTTCCATTGTTTTCATTTTGAACCCCGTATATCTTACTGTTCCTTCATTACCACATTTTAACTACTTTTGATATAACAGATAACTTTACTGCTTTAGGGAAGCAAATTTAATTTTTATGTTACTGTTCTGAGCATGTTGTTCCTTAGATGCCCACTTTCCTAAGTAGAAATATATTAATAGCTAGGAGCAATCTTTTGGCTTTCTGTTTTGTAAGTTAGAGTATACTATACTGTATGCAGAGGATTAGGATGTTAAAATATTTATTTCCCTGTTAAATGGCTTAAATCATGAACAAACTGAATATATAGCGTTG